GGGCGCCGGGTTCTGAACCTGTTCGCGTCTGCGCCGCCCCGGACCGCGGGCGAGCAGGGAGGGCCGGACCCTGGGGGCGCCAAAGGTCACCAGCAGGCTAGGTGGGAAAGCTGGGGGGCTCAGGAAGGAGACAGAAAGTTCTTTCCTCTGGGCTGCGTGGAACCTGCGAGAAATGTCTCCTGGGAGGGAGCAGAGAGAGCAATGGGGAGGGGAAAAGAGTGGAAGAAATGGCTGACAACTGGGCTTCTGCAGGGGGCGTCTCCTTTTGCGTGTCCCTGCGCTGCTGCGGTTGCCTGGCCTCATTGCTTTTAGGATTAACACGGCTGCAAAGCGAGAAAGGTGGGAAAGGGAACAGAGAGGCATGACCGCTCAGAGGGAGCCCCCAACTATCCACGCCCCCCCCCCAACCTTGTAAGAGCTTTTATTTATTGATGGCTAGGGCTACATTTTTCGCTCCCTGGCAACTCCAAGCACCTCCTTCATCTTCCACCACACCCCCATTGCCTACCGAGCTTTCTGCTTGGTCTCTCTACTTTGAGGAGACGCCTGTATCTTTTTTTTGGGGGGGGGGCGGGGAGGACAGGACACATTCCCTTGGGTTTGAAAGACAGGATGTTGAGAGCAGGACTAAAATCAGGATTCAGAAGAATGTTTACTGAATGAAATTTGTTTATCAAATCCAACGCCTTTAAAAAAAAAAAATTTTTTTTCCAGTGTGTGACTTGTTACCTCTCCTCTTTCCAGTTATATTTNGTTTATCAAATCCAACGCCTTTAAAAAAAAAAAAATTTTTTTTTCCAGTGTGTGACTTGTTACCTCTCCTCTTTCCAGTTATATTTTCATAGCCTGCTCAATAAAGCTCTTCAACAAGAATCAGTAAGAATTCCTCTTGTCCCTGCCTGGAACCCCATCTCCCGGATTTGCAGGGATACCGGGGGAGGGGAGGGGATACCTGTTGGGGCAGCGCCACGCCTGACCGGCNTTCATAGCCTGCTCAATAAAGCTCTTCAACAAGAATCAGTAAGAATTCCTCTTGTCCCTGCCTGGAACCCCATCTCCCGGATTTGCAGGGATACCGGGGGAGGGGAGGGGATACCTGTTGGGGCAGCGCCACGCCTGACCGGCCGGGGACCCACCCAGCAGGGAGCCTGGCGGTGCCGAAGCTCAGCACTTTCCTAGGCAGATGGTTCAGTTCCCCCAGGTTCGTGCCAGGTTTCAACATCCTGCTGTGATTTTGTTCTTCTGGAACCGGATGAGTGTTGCTTCCCAGGGCGGCCCTATTAGAACAGAAAGAAAATCCTCTAAATAGGCGGAACAAGGCATCAGGAGGGAAAGTTCTCTAAATGCACTTTAATACGAGCTGGGTATTGTGCGGAATTCCGCGCCCATCGCCGTTTAGCCTGGGAGTTATGGCAGTGATTGGGGATGAATAGAGGACCATAATGGATACATGTGGCGTCTGCTCATTATATTCAAGTTAGCCCAACTCCACTGTGGAAACTGTTCAACTTTCTCTCCCCTTCGCTTGTCACAGGGAAATAACACAGACATTGGGGCCTCCAGTGGGATCGCCTGCCACGCCATTCTATTTCCACTGCTAACGAGGGCTTCATAAGCCTTTGATACAGCCTGATCTTTGAAACCTTTCCAAATCTCCTCAAGCTTATGCTAAATCCTATTTGGAACTTTTTTTTTTTTTTTTCTCCTTGCCTGCTAGCGCCCAGGACTTAAGAAAGCCATTTGGACAGTGACACGCATACTAACACATCGCAGGGCTCTTTTCTGAAGGAGAAGCGGCAACTCTGACCACCGGGGCTCACACGAGCGAAACACAATTGCGTACACACATTTGAATAAAATCAATTTTCCCTTCTCCTCTGGGCTCCTAATCGAGAGGCTATTCAGAGCGCCGTGGGAGAGAAGGCGAGCGGAGCCTCGCCGGGCGGAGCGGGCCAGCGGAGAGCGGGCTGCGAGCGCCGGAGCCTCCGAGGTGCAGAACNGAGCCGCAGGGGCTAAATCCCAGCGTGTTGTGAGATCAAGCAGCCGGCGCCGGAGGGGCACAATGAACAAAATCTGTGCCGACTCCTCTACACGCAGGAAAGGAAAAGCAAAAGGAGTTAAGGAAACAAAGGAAAGATTCCCTAATTTTCCTTTCTTGTTTTCCGCTCTAAGCCTTTCCACATTAAAGGGATTGTCAGAGGCTGGTGTAGGAGCCGCGCGAGGTCTAGGTCGCCATTGGCTGCCTGGCTCGGGTGATTTGCATATCGGCTGCTATAAAAGCGGAGGCGTCGCGCGGCTGCTCAACAGCAGCAGCAGCAGCTCGCCAGAGGGAGGGATCGCGAGGTGCCGAGTGAGGACCGGTCCGCCGCGCGTCCTCAGAGCCCGCCGGAGCCCGGGAGCTGCAGCCGGCGCACTTCTCCCGCACGGGGCTGGCAAAAAGCGTGCTCCGAGAAGCCTGGGGCTCACGTCCGGACCTGCAAACCAGAGAGGAATCTTTTCTTCAGCCTTTTGGAATAGCACTTGGGGCTGGCAGCATGAGTCTAGTAAGGCGCGGGGGTAGCCCCTGCCTTTTACCTTTGCAGCTCTTCAGCCTCTGCTGGGTGCTCTCAGTGGCCCAGAGCAAGACGGTGAGATACAGCACCTTCGAGGAGGACGCCCCCGGCACGGTCATCGGGACCCTGGCTGAGGACCTGCATATGAAAGTGTCCGGAGACACAAGCTTCCGCCTGATGAAGCAGTTCAACAGCTCGCTGCTGCGAGTGCGCGAGGGCGACGGGCAGCTGACCGTCGGGGACGCGGGCCTGGACCGCGAGCGGCTGTGCGGCCAAGCCCCACAGTGCGTGCTGGCCTTCGACGTGGTCAGCTTCTCGCAGGAGCAGTTTCGGCTGGTGCACGTGGAGGTGGAGGTGAGGGACGTCAACGACCACGCGCCGCGCTTCCCACGGGCCCAGGTCCCCGTGGAGGTGTCCGAGGGCGCGGCCGTAGGCACGCGCATCCCCCTGGAGGTGCCGGTGGACGAAGACGTGGGCGCTAACGGACTGCAGAGCGTGCGCCTGGCCGAGCCGCACAGCCCCTTCCGCGTGGAACTGCAGACGCGAGCGGACGGCGCCCAGTGTGCCGACTTGGTGTTGCTGCAGGAGCTGGACCGCGAGAGCCAGGCCGCTTACAGCCTGGAGCTGGTGGCCCAGGACGGTGGGCGCCCGCCGCGCTCTGCTACGGCCGCCCTCAGCGTGCGTGTTCTGGATGCCAACGACCACAGCCCGGCCTTCCCACAGGGCGCGGTGGCCGAGGTGGAGCTGGCAGAGGACGCGCCGGTGGGGTCGCTGCTGCTGGACCTGGATGCGGCCGACCCTGACGAAGGCCCCAATGGCGAAGTGGTGTTCTCCTTCGGCGCCCGCACCCCGCCCGAAGCTCGCCGACTCTTCCGCCTGGACCCGCGCTCCGGACGCCTCACCCTCGCGGGACAGGTGGACTACGAGCGCCAGGACACCTACGAGCTGGACGTGCGGGCTCAGGACCGTGGCCCCGGGCCTCGATCCGCCACCTGCAAGGTCATCGTGCGCATCCGCGACGTCAATGACAACGCGCCGGACATCTCCATCACCCCGCTGGCCGCCCCGGGGGCGCCTGCCGCCTCGCCCT